TTTCAGCTTTTCACCTGATATCTCAAGTACTAATCATCACATTTCAATGAGACTTGCGACATAGATATTCTAGGACTGCAGATACCTGATTAATTTTGGGATAAATAATTGTGCCTATTAATTACCTAATTTGCATAATTAGTTAATTTTCTGCTGTTTTATGGCTGTTGCACTGATGTCTAAAAGCCACTCTTTGGATTTCAATGAAACTTTTAAAGAGTACCCATCACATTTCAATGAACCTAGGACTATACACCATATTAGTTTTTGGTAAATATTTATGCTTCTTAATCACCTAATTAATATAATTAATTAATTAATACTGATATCTCAAGTATTGATCATCACATTTGAATAAAACTTGGTACATAAGTGCTCGAGGACAATAGACAGCCTGACTAATTTTGGGTTAAAATCTGTTCATATTAATTCTCTAATTAGCATAATAATTAATATTATTTTGGTTCTAATCACATTTCAATGAAACTTGGTACATTGTGCAGACCTTATTAGTTTTACACTTAAATCTGTTCATATTAGTTACCTAATTTGCATAATTAGTTTTCTGTGTTTCCATCAACATCTCAAGTTCAAGTAATTTTGAATTAATTTTTAATGTGTCTCCAATACTCTCAGCACACGGGAGTTCTTTCTAAGCTTTCTTTGATTTAAAGCATCATTTCTCATATTGCGTCATGTTCAATATAGAACCGCCGCAACGTATTAATTAAACAATGTCTGTTAAATACAATTTTTTACAGTATTTTCAATTTTTAGTATGCTCTATCATTGAATTACCAGTATGCATCATTTCAATCATAAATGCACCTCTGTCATTTAAGTAAATTCATCTGCTACCAGTAGAGCAAATACAGTATTTTTACGTGTTTATCATAAATTTCAGATAGACACAAGACCTAATTTACATATGATTAGAATTAAAAGTGGCCATGCATTTTATTTACCATCAAAAGAAAAGTTGCACTTACTCCCAGATTAAAACACCTTCAGACCGATTAGAGTCTATGACTCTGTCATAGTTGAATGTGCATTTTATTTTAGACGACAGAACTACTATTTTTGTGTAGAACATTAAGTTTGCATCTCGATCTTAATAAATTGACTCTTCCCAGTTGCAGCACATTTTAACAATTTGTGAAAGAACAAAATTTCATACTGTAATCAATTCTTACCATATTTTGTTCCCGCACAGTTTTTCTTTATCCAGACTAATAAATTGAATTGAGAACAGAGTTAGATTATAGTTATAAATCAAAAATAGCTTCATTACCGATAGTCAACATTTACATAAAAAGAAAAATTTTAAATTACTGACATTCTAGCGTTCTAACTGTTAAATTTTTTTTCTCGCAGAAATGGTGATCCCTGACAAGTGCAATGTATTTTATGCAATCAATCAGTCTGCACCGGATTTGACCTTTGAACTTAGGAAGAAGCAGTCACCATCAGAAAAACGACCAGTGCTTAAAAAGAGAAATAGTAGAATAAAATTACTGATCAAGAAAAAATCATCTACTAGTTAGAGAAAAACTGTAAAGATGTTCAACCACAGCATAGCACAGGGTGTGTTCATGTGACCTTATAACCACCGGTTATGTGCATCATGTGACCATATTTCCACTGGTTATGTGCATCATGTGACCATATTTCCACTGGTTATGTGCATCATGTGACCATATTTCCACTGGTTATGTGTATCATGTGACCATATTTCCACTGGTTATGTGCATCATGTGACCATATTTCCACTGGTTATGTGCATCATGTGACCATGTAGCCACTGGTTATGTACATCATGTGACCATGTAGCCACTGGTTATGTGTATCATGTGACCATATAGCCACTGGTTATGTGCATCATGTGACCTTATAGCCACTGGTTATGTGTATCATGTGATCGCGTTTCTTAATGTTCAGTAATTATGCATCACAAGGTCATGTTCCTTCTGTACATTGATTATGTATCACGTTTTCTTCATTACATATCGTGCATTAGCTATGTATAGTGTGTTATGTTTCTGATAGTCATGTGCATTGGTTATGTATTTATTATATTCTTCACACCATAAGCAAGGACAGAAAATTTGAATTCTTGCATGTTTAACAAAATCAAATTTTGTAAATGTGCAAACACAAAACAGGGTTACCACTGTAATATTTGTAAATATGTACATTTTATAAGAGGAGGTGGTTCGAGACTTGCCATTTGAAAATTAATAATTTTAATGTGCAAATAAAAATATGAATTTTTACTGGTTTTAAACAAAATTCTGCTCAAGTTTGAGAAGCTCAAAATTAAGATATTTTTGTCATTATAAATAATGTATATAACGAAGTATTAGAAATAATCCTTATTGAAGTCTGACATTTAATTTCAAATGTTTTACATTTTCAGCGAGTCGTGTACACAACATTACAATGAATTTCAAGAATATTTATCATACAAATCTGATTGTTCCAGTCATTTGACGACACTGTACCATGACCCATGTCATTTTATTCAGATTCTTGAGTTTTTTTCTGCCACAATTTACGCTTAATATATTTACGAATTATGTTGCCACAAGTGTTTATTATTTGAAGATTGATCCTGGTTAGTATATCAAGAACCTATCATTATGCAAGGTGCTTTTTATTTACATTTATTGCTGCCAAATAGCCACAATTTCTAAACAAGGTATGTCCTTTTATACATCTTTACGATTGAAGGGTTGCGTGAAACATGCGCATTTAATATATTAGCGACTGATCTCTCGTTACCCGAAATTTTCATCCATTTTTACAAGTAATTTATGGCATCAAAATCACATGTTCAATAGTTGCATTTCTGGAGACTACCTTGTATATAAATCTCTCAACATTATGGTTATTTCAGAGCCGTTGTGCAAGAAAATTTGATTAAATAAATTTGTGCAGTGGCTTTATAGAAAAAAAAATGCTTACGAGTTGCCATATACATGTATTAAAAATATGAAACAGGCATGCTCCTTTATGCATTATAAATTATAGTTTGTAATTTTGTATATACATTGTATTATATAATAAATGAATTTTTCTTTATAATTGATGTCAAAATTATTTCAAGTTTTAATCTCATACTAGAATAAAACAGCACTACCTTCACAAATACACCTTTTTGTTGCTAGAGGTTTGCTCTAGTAGTTTATGATCACACCTAACCCCAAAACTCTGCAAGGCTCGGTGTAAATAACAGAATATGCAATCATTGAGTTATTAAAAACTCGAGTGAGCGAGCAATAGCATTAGTGGTGAAGAATATCAGCCAGATGTGCACCACAATATAGCAAATCTTATCAAAATTAGCTCTGCAATATGACATGCAAATTAGCTACTTAATATGCACAGACATTGTCATAAAACTAATGCCAGTACCTTAGTACACAATTTGATCAAAATCTGTTTAAAAGTTTGAGATTTTGCTTGCACACATGCAAGTTAATCATAATGAATACATTGCACACATTTTTTTTAGTAATAATTTTTATTGATTGCTTTTATATTAATTATTATAATTTTCCAATATACAATAAAATTCTTGACCACTGAGGGCGCCAACCATGTGAAAGATTATATACTTGCATTCTCGTTGAGGGCGCCCTAGTAAGAACAGCACAGCATACAAGATGAAAAATGGATGAGCATTCATCTAGAATTTAGAGAACACTGACCCAGAATTAATCCAAGAATGCTTCAAATAATCATGTACATCTAGTCATCTATATTAATTTGTTCCTGGTTAAATTAATTTTTAGTATTGAGACTAAAATTCAAATTGTCATCTTATTTTTACTCGGTTGGTATCCATGAATTTCGAAAAATATCAAAGACTAGAATATCAAATTCAGATGATGTTTTACATTTTTTTGTAAAATTACTAATACCAAGCCAAAATTTTCTACATGGAACTAAATGAGAAAATGCATAATATTTGACATGGCATGTAAATAGCATACTAAAGGGTGTGCTCAAATTAACCAAGTTTGCAAAAAACAAATAGTATTTCATGCAGGGTCGTACCCCTCTATCCATACTAGAAAGTCAGGAAATTTTGATGGACTGAAAATGCAAAAAAACAAAAATTCAAAAATTATAAATTGATGTTACCGGTAGTCCTCTAGACAAAATAGCCTTCTGAAAAATTTAAAACACCCCAAAATTGTTAATTGTCCATGACAAGGTAATTTTAGCTAAGTATTACACAGAGTAAAATGTCAAAAAACACAGAATAAACCCTGTAGTGAAATGAGACTAATCATGATATTATAAGCATACATGCATAACCAACATTGTTTTAATGGGAGAGACTATGGCTGGGGAGTCATACGTAGGTATTGTTTGCCGGAAGGTACAGGCTTTATTTCTACTCCCTTGGGGAATAGTTTAGCCACATCCTCTGGTTTTACAGTTGGCACTACCATGCACTTCTCACCCGGCTGTAATATACAAAAGCAAACAAAAATAATTATTTTATCTCAAAAACATGCAATTCAATTAATTTTTTTCTAGTAGACAAAGACATATTTTTCTGAACTTGTGACCTTAAAAAAAAAATTATTTTGGAAGAAAAACACTGAAGAGATGATAAGGAATAAATCTTTTTGGACTTATTGTAGCACAATTGAATTTGGAAATCCAATCGTATTAATTTTCAGGAAAGAAAGTATGTACTGATTAAATAAAAATCGTCTTGCCTTCCAGTCGACTGGTGTAGCAACTTTCTTTGTGGCTGTTAATTGGAGAGAATCAACTACTCGCAGAATCTCACTGAAAGTTAAACAGAATAATCATAGGCTGCATATTAAAGCAAAATTCTAAAGTTCTGTGTGATCTTCCACGACATAAAGTGCGGGCTCTTAAAGGAGAGAAATCTTGATTTGAGGAATTTGTAGGCCTGTGGGGCAACTTCCATTTTCGGAGTGGTTTTTACAGCTTCAGTAATCAACAAGTTGGTAGCCATCTACCAATCATTTTAGACAATCACAAAATTTCTATAAATTTTGTTGACAGCTATTAGTTTTTAGAAAATAGCCATTAATAATCAACAAAAATCTGATAACAAACCAGAAATTAATATCTTGCATTTCAATATAGATTTTAGATAGACATTTTTCATTTTTTTGCTATGACCCTGGTGACCAATATTTATTACATGTAAGTACAAAATTTGGATTATGTGGGAGTTTTTTAAAATAATTTTCACATTTTTGTTAAAATTAAATCACAGTGAACACAATAATAATTAAGACATTGAATTTCACGAATTTCTTTTGGATATTTTGAGGTTTGAAATTCATGGATATGCCAATGAAATAATACATTTCATTGTAAATATAGATGCCCATGCGAATTTAAATTAGTGACAATTTGAACTCTGAATTAATTATTAATGCGCTTATTGTACAATCGTCCGAGTGCTCAAGATAATACCGTAAAATCTGTATTAGAAGCCGCATCCCTAATAGAAGTCGCACCCATTCTTTTTGAATATTTGAGAACCAAAAAATTCATCATTTCTCATATGTGTAGATGCTCTAATAGAAGCCGCATCCCCCTCTGTTGCATTGTACCATTTTAATAGAAGCCACGGTTCCTAATACAGATTTTACAGTACTGAACACTAATATAAAGACAAGCCCAATAAGATACTTACTCAAAGTTTCTTCCAGTGGTAGCAGGATAAAGAAATGACAGTTTCAGCTTCTTATCAGGCCCAATGATAAAAACCTGGAAAACAATTTTGGATGATAATGGTAATTAGCTCTCCACAAATAACGATCCAACTAATGAACTATTGATATCTTGCTTTCTCAGGATAACAAGTTTGATAAATTAATTGGAAGCCTGTATTATAATACCAAATTGATATTTGTGCTTGCCCAATGCTTACAATATTATTGGTGACACAGTTATCATCGTCTGAATCACATGGTCCCGTGTCTTCGACCTATACCATGCAGGATCGCATAGGCTAATTGCATATCTTAAGCAGTGAGATGTTATTGAGCGCGCCTCGAAACAAGGCGCCCAATCAGCTTGGACTAAATTATAAAAACTCACTGCGTCGATTGTCTGTACCTGATGAGGCTTGAGGGCACCAACACCGAAAACTTTCGCAATTTTATCATCACAAATATCACGATTCATGGGCGCCGCCATTTTGTTTAAAATGAAACGGCAAAGAGGGATTTGTAACCTGCGAACTGATTGGACAATGATTAGTCGCTACTGACTACTGGGGGCGCTGTTAGAATACGCATATTTGATGGTCGTTCTGCCAAAGTCTGTTTATAATCTTGGCCGAATAATCTTAGACCTTGGCTAGCGAAGATGTGTTGCGATCCACAGGATAACGTGACTGATGTCAAGCAGAAAGAGGCAAAGTTGTAAACAACGACTTACAGCACGACAAGTGAGCGGCAAACCAGCTGCAGTTTTCTCATCAGGATCTACCATGCCAAGTTTTACGGCTAAATCTCGTTTCTCATCAGCAATTATCGGATAAGACACCCCGGCAACACCAGAATATGCTTTGATATCCTACAGAATAAGATTGTTATTAGGCATTATTTTATGCGATCTCCATACGTTAACCATGGGGCGGAGAGACCTCAGCCATGTTAGGCGCTCAAAATCCACCTGGGTACAGCTTGAGACTGCAGCACAGGACCACATACGCTGGAGAACTGTCATCGATGGCCTATGTTCCAGGAGGAGCGACGGGCCAAAGCAAAGTGATATGTTAACCATGCATAGAATCACAGCAACTTTCACATGGATCCTAAAGACACAGAATCACTGAGACTATGGAGAAATTTTCTCAACTTGCACAAATTCCTAGCAGCGAAAATTTAATTGTTTACAGCATGTTGTGACCTCTACTGATGTTGTTCTATGATACACCGGTAGATTAGTGCAGTTTCACTAAAAATTTCCAAAAAATGGTTTTTAGAAGAAACTATGTTCACATGTAGTCTTACCTCGATCCAACCTTTGTGGTCTGCAACACTGTCACATGACAATGCAATCAGTTTCACATTACGCTTCTTAAACTCTGGTACGAGTTTTTCAACACGACTCAGCTCTGTTGTACAGACAGGGGTATAGTCAGCGGGGTGGGAAAACAAAATAGCCCATCTGAAAAAAAATATAAATGCAAGGTTTTTAAAAAAAATGCTTCTGATTGGCCATCCAGTCCTGGCAGATCTATATTTAGCCAATCAGAGAGAGTCTTTCAGATTTCTAGGACCTGTACAAATTATTGAGCAACACAATGAATAAAATTCCCCAATTAACTGGTGGTTGTACTGTACTGTTTGATTGGAATACTTGATTTGCTCATCAGAAGTTGCATTAAAATTTCCTGGTCTTGTTCTTTCCAATAACGCCAACTCTTGCTGAACACGTCACTTACAGATATACATCTCATCAGCATAGTGCCGTGAAATGTCATTTCAAAAACTTCTTATCTTCAATTTGGTCAATTTTTATTTTTATTCGACTTGTGACTTACAAACACAAGATTCCAAAACAAATGTTACAAAAGTTTTGAATATTGTAACTGATAGGGACCAACAATTTGGCATATATTAATTATGGTTTATATTTACAACATTATCTCTCACTCAATTTCAGTCCTCAAAAGCATTTACATTTAAAGCTTGGGGGAGTTGGGAAGAAAATAGTAGGTCGTGCAACGATGAGCCGGTTGGTACACATCAGAGAACGTCATGGCATTGGAACATGCAAGTGCATTCAAATTGCGCAACTCTAAAACTGTTAATCACAAGTAAAAGCATGTTGAAGCGAAACCATGAAACTACATGAAGTCAATGACTGGTTACCAAGTGAGATTACATCACATACATATTTGGTGCCGTTATTGTGAATGATTTGTTTGCAGGTAGCTCAGTACTCGTTGCATGACACATGCACGAGATCTGGGTCTAATAGAAACGAAGATGGTGACTTTGACAGTTGCCAGACCAGCGAGTACAAACTGAGATGTTACCAAGCTTTAATTAGGTATTTTTTTAGGTGATTGGAAGGTATCAAAGGAGTCATCGGCAGTAATTAGTGCAAGTCAAAACTTGTACTTGTGATTTGCATTGAATTGTGGCAAAATCTATGTTTATCAACACAAATTTCGCACATGCTTGGTGTGACGACCACCACCCTTTAAGTTCTATTGATACAGTTCAATGTCCAATTAATTAAGTACTACTTTATATTTAATCTACATACATGTATATAGATGTACATTATTTTATTATTATTCAGTTCTTGTACCTTTAAACTACTTAAACTGTATTTTATTGTGTGGAAGCTCTAATTCAACACCACAATGTTGTTGTGACTAGTTGTCCATAGACTTCAGAATTGTATTCCATCTTGATATGGATACCACCTGCCATGCTACCACTTGACAATTGTATAGCCAGCAGTTTAGTAACCATGTCACGTATAAGGAAATACCAGACACTTAATTCAGATGTGATCTGATCAACATCCTCCTTAGTCTACCGGATAAATTCTGTCACATATCGGTACATTGTATTTCTTTGAGCAATCGACATAAGAAAAGCCACAAAACAATCTGTGCATAAAAAGGAACTTTAAATGGTACACAATCAGTGCCTATCTACGGCAACAGAAGCAAACATAAAGATTTTTAATAGCCGGGGCTGTTTTGCTTTTATTTTTTCAGAAAGACCCCCCCCCCCCCCCGAGTCTGCTGACGGTCTAGACAGAACTACGGGGGGGGGGGGGGGTAATACTACCGGTAACTTTGCCAAAGCAACAAAGATTATTAGAAAAATGGAAAGTGAGAGTAAAGCAATATTTTCATGCCAAATTGAGCATAATTATTCAATTGTTATTATACAATAGTATCTGCGAACGTATTTGTACAAAATTTACGACTCAAAACTGTATTCAAGCAAGAGATTTATCATTGACATGAAACTGTTAGCCGAAGTAATATTTTTGAAAGGGCATTTTTCAAGGGCATGAAAATCTTTTGATCGCGATAGAAAGTTTATAACCTCTTTAGAAGACAGTCACCTGACTGTCACTGTATGTAGAACAGTTTCTTATTCAGCCCCGGATAAAGCTATGCTAATTACTAAAGACAGGGTCAATATGCCAGGTACATGCAAGGTCCTGTTAATCGGGCTTTGTTCATTTCAGAAATGTACACACTCTGTACAAATATGAGAAATTGTGCAACTCTGTGTTGTCGATTTCCACCACTAAGTTGTAATTCTCAGGGAATTTTGTTGTCTTAAATAACCCTCTTCATATCACCATATACATGCATCTTTTAAAATGAATCATGGGAAAAACACAGAACGCTCACCGATTGGTGAATTCATGCACATATACATGTAAGTGAGCTTCTAGATGCGCATTTTTTTTGCCAAACATGATTTAATGTCCAAAGTTGAGTGGAAGCTGATATGAAAACGATTTGAGAGTATACACGTTTGTGGTATTATTAAAGGCCAGTGGTCGTCGCGTCTTGTTCAATATGATTCAATATATTTTATTTGGAACATACACAAACAATAAGGTAATGTCCAAAAGAGCAAGACTAAAACAGATCCAAAATACAAAAAAAAAAAAAATTGGAAAGAATAAACTTGTCACAACTGGATGCGAAAAGTATTTCGCCTACAATTATTTTTTTTTTGGTTCGGCAACATTTTTAAGCCAAGGTTGCTAGAAGAAAAGCTTAGAAAAAACTTGATAGAATTTTCTAACCGTTCTTCTAGCAACACTATAAGACAAGATTTTAGGTCAATTCACGGGCATCAGAAGCACACGTTTACTTAGCACTGGCTAAGGAATTTGACCTCTTAGCTTGTGCTAAGGAGCTGTGCGTGAACGCAACAATTTAGACGCTGTTGCCAATGTATCTCTGTACCCATACCAAATTGCATGCACTTTTTTCAAAAAATGCTTCACTCCAATTAGACATTTTTAAACTCAGTCTACGGCAACTACGACTGCGTGTTTCATCTCATTTTGCGTCTGCGAACAATTATTTTTATATCATGATGACGGACAATTCTCAATTTGGCATGTTTGTTTGTCAAATGATGTAATTTTAAACTTAATTTTGTATTTTGAGGCGAACAATGAGGAAAAAAAACGTTGGGTTGCAGTCAAAAACAGTATTTCTTTGATAAAATACAAATACAACTCATGCATTCTAGATTTACCTGTACGTAAAGACAGTCAGAAACTGTCAGTATTTTATCGAACAAATACTGTTATGTTTACAGCCAATCACATAAATCATACCCTAAAATATTTATCACGATGTAATACCAAAGTTAATTATTAAATGTTAGACATTTCATTTTATTTCAAGAATTACATAAACTGTGACTTTATGGTAGAAATTAGTTAAGAATAATTAGCGTAATAAACATAATAATAGTGAAATGTTTAATACATGTCAAAGATTGCTGGTGTTTTTTTCTTTTTTTCTGGTGATAATATTCATCTTTTTGTAATGATTAATTAATTTTGTAATGATTAATTACGATATTCAATACATTTGAGCAAAAACATTGATAATTTCCTCATTTTTGTGTATACTGATGGATTATTCTATTATAATCTTTCAGCAATAATAAAAAACTGGGGTCATTGACCTATTTTTTTTTTTTAGAAAATCGTATGTTTATATTATATTATGAGGAAAAATAAGTAAAACATGCTCCTATCAAATATTCAAGCATTGTCATTTTTTTTAAACTTGGGGTAATGATGGAGTTTGTAGAAAAACAACTTTTTCTACAATAAAAATAATGGGTCAACGACATAAAATAGTATTCAACTTATAATAGTTTGTCCACACAGTGCGCGATAGAGAAGTAAAATACTGTGCGTCCGGTATCGTGCGTACGTACAAAAGCGAAATATTCTTAGTCCTTTTATTTTTATTTTTTATATTATTATTTTATATGTTTCAAAAACTGTTATTTGAATTTCAATAATCTCATAAACAAATATTCTTGACTCCGTAATAATGTATTACAAATAATATTTTTATCCTCCGATCATGTATACCAAAGCCCATCGCGGTTGTGTCCACCGGAACAGCCCTCAAAATTCGATTCGGGATTGTGAACCTGGCAAGGAATCAACGCTTTCTGCCTTGTTTTACTGAACATCGTTACATATAAATGCAATAATGGGTCCAGGATGGCATGGCCATATCATATTTTGTCGTCTTCGAACCCAAATTAATAATTCAACAAGGCTAAAATCCCGATTGCAATACTTGATCAAAAGAATACATCTTCCCTAAAAATCGCGCCCTCCAGTGTCGAAGCGATTGTCATTTGCGTCATTATTCTTTTTTCCACAAAAACAAACAAATTTATCAAATATCACTGATTCGTCACCGATTTTCTCTCAGCTTCCCGGTGTTTTTAACGTTTTTTTCTGGTATGAAAATGTCTGCAGCTGCATGGATTTTTTTACATGATTTATCGTATCGATTATCGTAAAAAATAA